AGTGAAGGTGACAGAGGGGCGGGGGTGGGGAGTAGGTTGGGGGAGGAGTGGGTGGGGGCAGGGGGGGAGTGGGTGGGGGCAGGGGGGGGGAGTGGGTGGGGGCAGGGGGGGGAGGAGTGGGTGGGGGCAGGGGGGGGGAGTGGGTGGGGGCTGGAGGGAGGAGTGGGTGGGGGCAGGGGGGGGAGGAGTGGGTGGGGGCAGGGGGGGGAGTGGGTGGGGGCTGGAGGGAGGAGTGGGTGGGGGCAGGGGGGGGAGGAGTGGGTGGGGGCAGGGGGGGGGAGGAGTGGGTGGGGGCAGGGGGGGAGGAGTGGGTGGGGGCAGGGGGGGGGGAGGAGTGGGTGGGGGCAGGGGGGGGGAGTGGGTGGGGGCTGGAGGGAGGAGTGGGTGGGGGCAGGGAGGGAGGAGTGGGTGGGGGCAGGGGGGGAGGAGTGGGTGGGTTCGGGGGAGGGAGGAGTGGGTGGGGGCAGGGGGGGGAGGAGTGGGTGGGGGCAGGGAGGGAGGAGTGGGTGGGGGCAGGGGGGGAGGAGTGGGTGGGGGCAGGGAGGGAGGAGTGGGTGGGGGCAGGGGGGGAGGAGTGGGTGGGTTCGGGGGAGGGAGGAGTGGGTGGGGGCAGGGGGGGATGAGTGGGTGGGGGCATGGAGGGAGGAGTGGGTGGGGGCAGGGGGGGAGGAGTGGGTGGGTTCGGGGGAGGGAGGAGTGGGTGGGGGCAGGGGGGGAGGAGTGGGTGGGGGCAGTGGGGGGAGGAGTGGGTGGGGGCAGGGAGGGAGGAGTGGGTGGGGGCAGGGGGGGAGGAGTGGGTGGGTTCGGGGGAGGGAGGAGTGGGTGGGGGCCGGGGGGGAGGAGTGGGTGGGTTCGGGGGAGGGAGGAGTGGGTGGGGGCAGGGGGGGAGTGGGTGGGGGCAGGGGGGGGGAGGAGTGGGTGGGTTCGGGGGAGGGAGGAGTGGGTGGGGGCAGGGGGGGAGGAGTGGGTGGGGGACGGGTGGGGGGCAAGGCAACACGGGAGAGAGAAGGCAGCTGCACATTAATAATGTTTAGCTCTTTATCGATCCACTGCTGGATGAAGACCGGCCTTCCCATGCCGTGTCAGTCATTGTGAGGTGTGGCGGGGGGGGGGGAGTGTTTTGATCGTGGGGTAGACTAAGAGTTCAGATGACACTCGCCACTAACGTGAGCCGTGAAATGCGAAGAGGAAAAGCCCTAACACTGCGAAAGTAACCGCACCGTTTAAATAACTATTCAATTTAAATCGTATCACAATTAGGGCCCTCCAGAAAAAACAAACAATAATAATAAAGTGAGTGCAAACAGCCAACGGCGTTCACATTTATTCGCTGGGATATTGTGTCACAGCGTCCCCGGTTGTAAAGAGCGCTGAAGTAAGTCAGCGGCTGTGATTCATTGTACCTCACGAGGCACGCAATTTACATTTGGCATTTTAAAGCATACGCGAAACAAAATCGCAAATGAAAAGCTAAACAATGAAACGCGGAAACAATGGACAAGAATGTTTCGCATTTGGAGCGTAACGAGGGTCGAGGTTTAATTGAAATTGTAAAAAGAAAAAAGGCTCTACGAAACGGGTTATTATCTTAGGGGCCGTCCATAAATGACGTCACGCACCTGGGGGGGGGGGGGGAGGTGGGGGGTCAGACATTTGTGACGATGTGTGACGAGGGGGGTGGGGTTTGAGAAATGTGACGTCACATCAAAATGCGCAACTTTAAATAAACATAGACAACACATAATCTTAGCTCTTTCGGTAAAGTGACGTTGAAGGGAAACAAAATAATAAAATATATATATAAAACAATAAAAAAAATTCTCACGACGTTTCGACCATAACACAAACGGTCGTCATCAGGTGTGTCGGTTTGCATTAAATTAAATTATTATAGAATTTTTATTGTTATATATATTATTATTATTTTGTTTCCCTTCAACGTGACTTTACCGAAAGAGCTAAGAATATGAATTACTGCAGTCACGAAAGCTTTAAATCAAAATCATAGACAACACGTTCTACTTAATTAAATAGACCATTTTAATAAATGTTTTCTCCTACAACATCAGAGTGCAGCGCCACATTAAATACGCACTACAATGACAATAGTTTAAAGCGATTTGAAGCATGTTTTTTGAGGGGGGGGGGGCAGAGCTTTGTGACGTCATATTTGAGGGGGGGTCTGACTTTTTGTGACGCCGTGTGACGAGGGGGGTGAAAAATCGTCCAAAATCGCGTGACGTCATTTATGGACGGTCCCTTATTAATGTTGTGGGTTTTACTCTCCAACGCACCAGTGCGCTTTGCTAGTGTAGTGGGTTCTAATCAGGCGCACACCAAGACTTTGAGGCAACACGTTTTTATTCTCTAACACAACCAACACTTTTCAACGTTCCAAGTTTAACTATGTACATTCCGGGTAACTATGTACATTACACGTTCACTATGTAAGGTCGTGGCCACCGTTCCTCACCGCCTAACCACTTGAACGCATTCTCTATCCGGTTGAACCAGAACAGCCGACACGCCGTTGTGTGTCCGCGTACTGAAGAGCGAAGGTCGGAGAAGACGACTTCTTCCATGGTCGAACAGCCACGCTCCCTCTCGGGGCTCGGCTTATATCCCCTGTGCCGTGACCAGGCTCCGTCCCTGGTCACGCCCCCCTTCTCTCGATCCTTCGCGGAGGCTCTGGGTCCACATCACGTGGCCCGCTCGCCCCCTTCTGGGGGCCCCCCGTGCCCCCTCGTCCGGTCACGTGCTCTCGCGGGGTTCACCCAGAGTGTCATGTCCTGACCCGACCTCCGTGACATCCGGAATCTGACCCCTAGTTGAGCCCTTGTGTATAGTACACCCACTGTAGCCATAGAACGGGCCTTTTAGGTCGTTACACGAGTAAAACATTCGGCGTGTTCTGTTCATGTGACAAACCTCACTAATTGGCTGTGTCGGGTGGTGGCGGGTTTAACGACACATTTATATTTACGCGATCTGACCCATAGACCTCCATTACGGACAATATTGGTCGCGATAGCCGACCACGCGTTAAACAATCTTACTAATGTCGGTAGGGAAATGTTTCATACACTTCACGTTTATGTATTGTTCACAATATATATATATTTTTAAAACGTGCACGCGTACGCATTACAAAGACATACGTAAACAAATGACAGCTAGTTAGCACGAATAAATGCCACGTAATTTGTGGGTGTTCATTAAGTGTTTGGGGTGAAAAGGTGGTGGCAGTGGTTAATAACGCACTGCAATATGAACACAGCAAATTGTCTAAAAAAGGGTCTTCGAATATGCATAAGAAAAATACGTAACAAATATATACAAAAAAATATGTAAACAATGGTTTATTATTTCAAATGAAAGCGCTACTGGAACACGCAAAATAATGTAATTTTTTTCAGTTTTCAGTTTCATTTATTAGGTACTAGCCGGCTTAGCCCGGGACTTGGATCCACCACGCCCAGCCGCCTTTGTCTCCCCAGTGGCGATGTTCACACACCACAGCAGTTACCCGTGTGAGGCTGAGTCGACCTAGGGGAGGCCCAGCAGCGGTTGAAATAATCGTCACCGGTGGTGGCCGTGAGCGGGAATACGAACACGGGTCGCCGGGTTCGTATCGCAGCGCGCTAACCACTACACTACCACTCCCCCCACACACACACACGCAGACACACACACACGCAGACAGCGCGCTAACCACTACACTACCACTCCCTCCACACACACACACACGCAGACACACACACACAAACACACGCAGACAGCGCGCTAACCACTACACTACAATGCGTTACGCTTCCACATTCGCGGGTCACATGGCGGATTTGACGTCACAGCTCATTTTCCGTGCAAAAAATTACATGCATTATTGAGCCCCCCCCCCAAAAAAAAAACAAGTGTATTTTAAAAAATAATTTTTGCATGGTGTACAGTCTGGAAAGTACCCACATGGAAAATCTCAAGTTTGTTGCATGTCGGGAAGTACGTTCAACATTTTGAACAGACACACATTCACAACTTTCCATTTTATATATGTATATAACCCTGTGAGCCATGCGGCTCTTGACTCGGGTGCAACCACAACAAACAAAAACATGAACAAAGAAACATCTTAAAGTGACTACACACAACAACAAAAATCCCGGAAAAAAACAGCAAAGTCTTGCAGAAAAAAACACCGCATTTCAACGCTGCGTGCAAAAATCCCAATGGGATGCAAGTCAAACAATAACAACCATAAGACAATTTAGATTAAAGTTATCAGGCTAACTCTGTACTACGACAAAACAAACATGGCTAAACCAACGCGTAAAAAAAAATCACCAAAATAAAACGATAAAAACAATGTAACAGTGATCGACCGAGGCGAGGCCATAACCGATTCGGACAATCGTCGCTGGTCTTTGTCAACTTCGTGGCGAAGCGTGTTCATCACGACACTACCGCTTCTCACATTTACACACTCACGCAAAGACAAATATACCGCAGCACCTGCCCCGACAGCCTTAACAGACTGTTGGGGCAGGTGCTGTTAGCGAGCACCTGTGAAGGTCAGCACGGCTTGGTGAATGAGCTATTGTGTGTGTGTGTGAGAGAGCTTCAGAGGGTGGGTAGGTGGTTTTGTGAGTGATTGATTGGTATAAATAAATATTCTGATTAATTTGCACGTTGGTATCTGAATTCAATATTTGGACAACAGAACACGTATTTACATTCGTATTCATGCGTGTTATATATGAAGTTTATTTGTTGGGGTGTGTGTGCACCTTCTACCAACAGTCTGTTCAAGTTATAAGTCAATGGTGGCGTCGGCCACCCCCCTTTCGCTTAGCCTAAGTTGGTACAGTACAGAATTTAGCTGGGGGCAGGGGGGAAATTATGAATTTCATTTCCAACCCTGATTGTATAAGAACATAACAGTGTAATGTCAAATATTCACTGGATTAAAAAGAAAATGGAACCATGTACCGCTTTGTTAAACTCATGTAGAAATCATTGACTGCCCTCTGGTGTCTCTAGGAAGTAAAAAAAACAATGAAAGAAAATAACACGAGACGATGTCAGTGCAGAATGTTGTTTAAGAGTTGAGAAACTGGGTGTCTTTTAGACGTCGCAACTGCAATTGTAAAATAATAACAGCCATCATAATGTAGATTCCATTTGTCACTCCACTGCTGGATGAAGGCTTCCCCCTGTGCAAAGTAGGGCGTGGGACGTTTGCTTTGACCATACTTCACCACGCTGGTCATTGCGGATTACGTAAAGCTAGGCATCCAGGACCTGTTAAAATATCACTCGCCACCAATAATGAACATCCTTGGCTGGGAATTGAGCTCAGGTCACACTGCTCAGCGGTCTTAAGCAAGAGTGTCTTAAAGTGTGCAACATAACACTGAAAGGACACTCGTCACTCGAGATGGCCCTGAGCCGTGAAAATTAAACATTTCCATGGCGGAGGACAGTCTCTCCGTAAAGGCACCGTTGTTGACTTCCCAAATATTTGGGCCATAATGCCACGCAAGCCACAGCAATCCCCAGTGATATTTCTGCCTCTCGCATCACAGTCGTCTCACCAAGTTGCTCGGCGCAGCAGGCGATGCGTCACAGGGGAGGCATTCATCCAGCAGCGGATTGCTCGTGATTTTTCATGTTCAAAAGCGACGGTTGGCAATTCCACGTTCCCATGGTGAGGTCGGTGGGGGGAGGGTGGTGGCGATCTGGTGTCATTGTGTTTGATCGATAATTGGTCAACCCTAAACCGCATCCACACAAACAACGGCAGACCCGGATAGCTGATGCACAAATGAAAACTTAGAGATTTCTCGAGTAGCGCGCGACTGTGGGTCATCCAGAAAAGAGACCGGTGAACAACGTGTCATGACGCAATACCCCGATCCACGAATACGAAGAAGGAGACATCACAGCGGCGATACGGCTAACTCCGCTTTCTCCCGCTGACGCTTTCATCTGCTGGGCTTCACCAACCCTGAACGTGGAATTGCAGCCATTGTCTCCGCGTCTACATCGACAGCCGTGCAAAAGAAAGGAAGAAATAAGATGATAAAACCCGCCGCTTTTGGAAACTGGTAAACACACACACACACAAGCAAAACAAGTTCTGGCCGCGACTCGAAAGGGGCAATTGCTTGGGTGGGGACGTCCGAGAGAGTTTTCGCGACCAATTGGACAGCAACGATGCCGTCTGGGCTGGCCTCCCTCCCTCCCTCTCTCTTGCAAGTGGGGATGTGCGACCGCGCGCACAAAACCGTCCCGTGCGGCCGGCGGAGACGCAGTAAGATTCAAGCCGAAAGGGAAGGTGGGGGGGGGGAGAGGCGACTTTGCCAATACGTTTTCGTCTTGACGAGAGGGCAACTCTGATGAACGCGGGGTTTTTGGCTTTGAGCTTTTCGAACAGCTGAGCCTGCCCAGTGCTGACAAGTTTACGGGTACGTTGTGGGGAGGTCGAGGGGGTGAAGCGATCCTCTCTATTCATTAGCCGGTCACGAGTCAGCCGTGGAAATTCCACGTTACCGTGGCGAGAGACGCGGGTGGAGGTGTCGTGGACAGTAAGTTCGCCAGTTCGCACAAAAGTGAGACATTTTATCGGTACTGCCTCGGGCACTTTGTGATTGGCAGTCAAATGGCGCTCGGCCACGCTGACGTTGCACGTTGGTGAACGTGGCGGTAACGCCAATTTTTGAGTGATGTGTGGTAGATTTGAACCTTCTGGAGATGTACCTTTTGGTATACATTTACAAGTACTGCAGGGAACGTTGCATCTGCTCTCAGGCCAGTCTCCAACGCACTGCCTATTTGTCATTGTAGTGGAGAATATGTACAAACAGAACATATTGTTTTCATGATGTTAAAGAAAAACGGTGTTTAAAAGTGTGCTATACAATAGTAATTGTTGAAAATACTGTTTAATCCCATACGCACAGTGCGCGTTTGTTCAATAAATGAAATGATCGCATTTCATGTTTAAAGCTTCTTCCGTGAAATATTTCAGCGGCGTAATTTTTTAATGGATCCTTGTACAACTGTTGGATATGCGAATGAATTTGAAATAATACAACTTGACGAAGTTTTCACCCCCACACACGTTTGGGTCCAACTCTCCCGGATCTGAGGTTCGAGACTTTAAACAGATGGCGGCCATCTTGCAAAAATGGCTGCCGTATCTGCCCTAGCTATGAATGTCTATTATCGCCCTCGAGCTAAAAACAAAACGAATCTTTCTTGGGATAACACACGATAGCCGCGTGTGCCAGCTATGGTGCTTGAACAATCGAACCCACAGTTTACACGCAATATCTGCTGCACAAGATGGGGGATGTTAACCACCTCATCCGGTATGAAGGAGGTCGCAGGTTCGTTCCCAACCCTGATGCCTGCTGCTGCTATATATTTGGAGTTTGCGTGTCTCCCGCTCTCCACGTGGTCGCGTCGATTTTTCTCCGGGTCCTCCGGTATTCCCCTCCACATTTATAATCGTCATCACGCGTTTAGAGTATTTGGCTGCAATACATTTCCACATGATAAGCCACTTCATTGACCTTGTTTGGCCACATTTCCACCATGCAGGCCGGTGATGCGCTGGTAAAGGGCATACCCAGAACCGATTCAGATGTCACTTAGCGCTGGGAATGAAAATCGTAGCACATTGCGCTAACCGCTGTGCCACCACTCCCCCTGTTTGTGCCATGAAACCAAAAAAATGCTGTTCATTGTAAAACATTGTGGCACACTCTGTTAACTCCTAACATGCGCATGCAGATGTATGTGTGTTTTTTTCTTCTTCTAGTGATGCCGAAATTGAAGTTTGCAAGCGGTTTCATTTTCGCCGTGATGTGTGCATGCCTATGGGTGAGAATTGCACATTACTGATCACTTCATTACCAATAATCCTTGCTTGGAGCGACGCAAATATCTTTCTCGCAATTGCGTCAAGACAGGAAGAGGAGCACATCGATTATAGAACGTTAATCAAATCATCCGGAACTGTAAATAAAAGTTCGTGGTGTTTGGGCAGCGACACGACATTGTGTCGAAGGGATGTTGACCGATGGTCTTAGCCGGGCGGTGGTGGCTATTCACGTGGCGGCCTGAAATCCACCACTGTGGAGGCGAGGTGGTGGGTCGATCACTGCGCAAAAGTTGTGAAATTCCCTTCCCGTGGACGTCGAACGGCACCCTGGCTCGACAGGAGAAGGCGGTACAGTGAAATGCAGAATAATATCAATCGTCATTCGTAGTTTCCTTTAGCGTAGAACGTGCGGGTGTAATGTGAGCGAGCAGCTCTAGATGGCTGTGCTGATGATGTCATGGCACCTACCGATGGTTTCCCGGACCAGGAAGCTCTTTCGCGCGAGAACCAAGCTGTTGTAAACACCTGAGGATGCCGGGTGTAATCTCCAGCGAAACGTCGGGCAACAAAAATAAAAACGTCAAACGTGTTTCTCGCTTATCATCACTCCCCCTGCTTTTCTCTGACAAACCAAACCAATTTTCATTCCTCCCATTAGCACGGTTGTCTGCGAACGGTGCGAAAGAGTGTCAGCGTACTTACAGACAATCGGCACCTTTGCCCATGACCTGACACATTGATTTCATTGGCTCTGTCGGGTGGTGGAGGGTTATAGTTGAAAATGTACTTCATGCCTGTTATGATGATCTAACCCAAAAGACACGAATTATGACTCATCGTGCTCATGAAAGCCTATATGTATAAAATTACTGTCATTGGCCAGTTTCCTCCCACATTCCAGCCACTCGCCTGTGTAGAATAAAGTTCCGCCTCCACGCACGCATGGGTCTTCACCAGGTCCTCCGATTTATCCCCACGTGTAAGCACTCAGTTGGATGATGACACCGTCGCAAATAGAAAACCGCAGAGCTTGGGCAATTCCTGAGAGCTCCGGCTCCTCGCCGCGTAGCTGCTGCTGCATTCGCGCTGATCTGTGCTTCCTCCTGGCGCCTCTGAGTTGTGTTCTCTCTTGACGAGAGCGGGGGAACAGCGTGCGGTGACAACGTGCAGTGTTGCAATCTGCCGGGACTATTATTATAGGAATGGAGCGGCAGCCAAGGAAAGGAACTCGTCAGAGACGATGTCCACCGAGCAGCTGGAGCGATGAGATCCCTTCATGCGCGTGTGTGCGTGTTGATTTTTTGTCGCACCGTACGTTAGCCAACCCGCGCTGATCTGAGATGCGGGGGAAGGATCTAGAAACTAAACACAAAAAGCAGTTGCAAAGAAATTAGTTTGTCGATCTAGATGATGATTTTAAAAATGCATGGCTCCAAGTGGCTTCCTAATATCGGAAGGAAGAGCGTTCCAGACGGCCGCAGAAGCGCGTCTGAAAGCGCCGCGCGATGCGGTAAGCGATGCCCAGCCGAAAGCCGCTGCGAGTATGAGCGCAATTCGCGTGATGCTTTACAGCCTTTATGGACGCGATCAGCAAGGCGTTGTGGTTCATTTGTGGAAAGCACTTTGTTGCGTGGATTATGACATTTTCGCGATCGTGGGAAAGGTGGCGTTCAGCTTGGGAGGGCGTTCATCCACCAGTGGATAGACCATGGGCTTTCATCCAGCGGGGTATAGACCGTGACTCGTGATGACATGAACGGAGGAGGGGGGGGGGGTGAAGGATATTTAAACGACCTGAGTGGCCTGCTCTGTCAATGTTGCCCACGTGGTCCCTCTTGTGTCTCTGAAGCACCTGGCCCATTTAATTCAGAAACGACCTCCGGAAAAAAAGAAAGAGTGCTCGGCTTGATCACGACGCTTTGTTACGGGCTTGACACATTCAGTCGCGCCGTGCTCGAGCACGTGAATATTGATTGGTACGTTGAGGAGGGGGTTCTAAAATTAACACGCAAGTTTTAATGGGAGCGCAAGTGAGAGTGGCAGGTGCGGCTCATTCCTGCCGCACAAAAATAAAAAAATAAACTGCCTCGCGCACAGCGGAGTGAGAACATTTTTTATTATTATTATCAACGCGTCGAGAAATGCGGCACAGATTGAGACGTCATTCCGAACCGCTCAATTTCTTTGGGGGTCGTTTTTCTTTTCATTAAATCGTGCCGCGCGAGCAAAGTTTTGCGGCACATTTTTTTTTGTCAGTGACAATTTATTACGTGAACTTTTAACATTCACCGGGCTTGGGCTTAGACGCGGCCTGGCCGTTTGTGACAATGACGGTGATGATGGTGATGGATGAAGCCAAGTAAATTAACACGACTGAGAGGGCATCCTGGCGGGGAGATGGAGCGACCTTTCAATCGGATCGCGTGCAGGTGTATATATGTTGAACTTCATTCACACCGTACTTCGCCAATCGTGCCTTTCGGAGTTGCGGGGGAAGGACAAGAGACTAAACACAAAGAAGCAGTTCGAAAGAAATGAGTTTTCAATCTAGATTTGAAAGTGTCACAGCTCCCAGTGGCTTCCTAATATCGGAAGGAAGAGCGTTCCAGACGGCCGCAGAAGCAGCGCATCTGAGAGATTGATGCGCTGCAGCAGCCAAAAGCCACTACGAGGATATCCGTAGTTCGCGTGATGATAATTTATTCTCCCTGACGAGATCAGCAAGGTGATTGTGGTCTTCATTCGTCGCAAGCACGTTGTGTGATGCATGCGACCTTGTTAAAGGTGCTGAGCAAATTGTTGCTGTTATTATTATTATATATCGCAGGATTGTGAGATATGGCGACGGTCTTGGAGGGAGACCTTCATCTAGCAGTGGGTTAACTATGGCTCATGATGATGGCGGTGATGACGATATGAATGCATGTTGAAATCATTGGCGGAGAAAATTGGACTCCCAAACACTTTCGTCAGTGGCCTGAAATGGGAAAATGTATATGATGGGTGACGTTTCAGGCTATGGGACTTCTTCAGAGCACATTAAACTGCGCAAACACGAAAAAATAAAATCTGCCGCGTGGAAGGAACGTTGCCTGAAACGTCAGCTCATTGAATATCTCCCGTTACCCAAGGCCACGGCGACTTTGTAAAGTTTTGTTGTTGTTGTTGTCTGTTAATTGTGCTTTGTGCTCCACCGCCGATGCAGCACCATCGCCACCACCACCACCACCACCATCATCGAGCTTCTTCAGCGAATAACCTCTTAATAGAGTGAGAGATTCCCAGGTTGGAGAGGTTGAACGGTTACAACATTTGCAGACTGTACTCTGGAACAGACGCACCGCGGGAGGTGGGGCCTCTGGCAGGAGGAAACGTCGCGGTTGGCGATAGCGTGGTGGCGGTGGTGGTGTGGACTTGACGATGATCGGTACCAGCGGTGTCAATCTCAGCCTCTGTGGAGGAGGAGGCTCGTGAAGGACGCCGCTACTGGGCAGTTGGAGGAGCGACGCTCACAACAACGAGCGGAGCGCCGGGCGGCTAAAACACAGCGAGTTGGCACAGGGGGGCACAGGTGGTGCATCGGCCAGTCATCTCAAAGGTCAACCCATGGCACCTGCGTCTGTCCCGTGTCCCTTCCTGCTAGCGGGCGGTCGACACTTCACGCGGCCTTAACGTGCACATGGCCTGGCACAAGAGCCGTGGTGACGATTGTTGGTGCAGATGGTGGTGGGGGTGGTTTACTACCTGGCCTTTGTCACATCCTGTGTCACTCCCCCCCCCCCCCATGCTTGATTTGATGATAGTGTGCCAGAGAGAGTCCACTTTTCACATCAGCTCGCGCACCTTTACAAATGGAGCACGCGATACGTGTCAGCTACATTGAGAGTCTAATGATGATGCCCTTTTCATCCCGGGAGGCATCGGCGAATCTCAGAAGTGGCGCTGCTGCGTCAGAAACTTTGGTCAATCATCGTGGGGGGGGGGGGGGGGGGCGGGGGGGGGTGGGGTCGTTTTTTCTTCTCTCAAATGTGGGACGGAACTGGAGCATCCAGATCTGCTCAGGCCCGGGGTCAAAGGGACCTACCCTTGTTGCTGTACTGCCACATCTGTTGAACGATTCACACAGAGCGCGCAGCTCCCTGGATGTGCGTTCGGGGGGTGGGTGGGAGGAGGGGGGGGGTTAGTAACCCGTAGCGACGTCCCAACGTTTCGCTCCCCCCACCCCCTCCTCCCCCACCACACGTGCTGGCGATCTCCTTCTTGGAACTAAACCGAGCAACGAACTCACGTATGATTGCAAAAAACATGACGTCACCCCCGCAGCCACCGCAACTCCGCCCCCGACGAACGCTTTTTTTGTTTTTGTTTTTTGGGTGTTGCCCCCCCCTTTCTCGTCGCTGGCTCGGGCAGGTGGGTGGCGGCGTCGGGGACATCGCGGGGGGCCTGTGCCAGCCGAGCAGGAGGTGCCCGCCGCTCCCTCCGCCCCCTCCGCCTCCTCCGCCTGTGCCCAGGAGCCGCGACTCGACGCGTGAGTCTCTCATGCCACAGCGCGGGTCTCAAAGCGACAACCCGCTGCTCTTGAACTCGGTTTTTTTTTGTTTTTGCCTCGTGTGGTGGCCGTGCATACATGACGTCACGCACCTAGGTGGAGCTGTCAGACATTTGTGACGATGTGTGACGAGTGGGGGGGGGTGGGGGGGTGAGAAATGTGACGTCACATCAAAATGCGCAACTTTAAATGAATATAGAATTCATCTTCTTTGGTTCTTTCGGTAAAGTCACGTAGAATGAGAATGAAATAATAAATTGATAAAATAAAATAACACAATAAAATTCTCACGACGTTTCGGCCACAACACAAGGCCGCTTGTGTTGTGGCCGCTTGTGTTGTGGCCGAAACGTCGTGAGAATATTATTGTGTTATTTTATTTTATCAATTTATTATTTTATTCTCATTCTACGTGGTGACTTTACCGAAAGAACCAAAGAAGATGAATCCTTGCAGTCACGAAAGCTTGAAATCGAAATATAGAATTGTTATAACAACACTAATTGTTATACAACACTAATTGTTATAACAGCACTAATTGTTATAACAACACTCCTACAATATCAGAGTGCAGCGCCACATTAAATACGCACTACAATGACAATAGTTTAAAGCTATTTGAAACATGTTTTTATTTTCAAAATGGAAATATGTTTTTTTTTGGGGGGGGAGGGGTGGGGCAGAGCTTTGTGACGTCATATTTCAGGGGCGGTCTGAATTTTTGTGACGCCGTGTGACGAGGGGGATGGGGGGGGGGTGTCAAAATTCGTTCAAAATCGCGTGACGTCATTTATGGACGGCCCCTGTATCGCTCTTGTACGTTACCAGGTAAGAACTCACTGAGCTACGGAGCTAGTTTTATTTTTCAGAAGCGACCTGGCCAAGCAGGTGTGGGGGGGGGGGGGGGGGGGCGGGGGGGGGGCTATCGTCGTCACGTGGACATCTATAGCAGCAAAACACTCGAAACGCGTGGTGATGCTGATTCTAAATGTGGGGGGGGGGGGGGGGAGGGGGGGGAGGGGGGGGGGGAAATCCGAGGACCCGTAGAAAAATCCACGCGACCACGGTTGGAACAGAGACCGGCAGACTCCAAAGATACAGCAGCATCAGCAGCAGCAGCAGGCGTCAGGGGTCGGGATCGAACCCACGACCTCCTGCGCACACCAAAGGAGGGAGTGAACATCTAGCCACCCTATCGGAGTCAGAAATATTTATTTATGCCGGAAGAATCCGATGAGCTATGAAGTTCTTTTTTTTCCACAGATGTCACAGTTGTCCCAGACGGGGGTTATCTGCTCGCAGCAAACTCCGGACCCGGTTTTTCGTTTCCTCGGAGCTCATCAGCAGGGCGTTGACTGTTAAACAAACGCTGCTCAGTTGCCTGCAGTTAATAGACGGTCGGGTATCGGTGGTCATGTGAGCAGGCACGCAATCTGATCGTTGCGAGTTCAAATCATGCTTGGGGTGGACGCGTTAACTTAGCCCATCACCTCTGCAGGCTCAGCAAAAATAAGTGCCACTCCGTGGAGAACGACCAACGGTGGTGGTCTCATTGAAGAGACTCGCCCTCGCCGTGGGAATGTGGAATTTCCGCCACTTGCTCTGCCGTGGCTGTGGAGCCCGGTGAACATCTGGAGAAAACCCTCGCGTGCGCAGGGAGGAAACAACACAACATCCCCATACAGATGGAAACAGATGGCGATTTAATACACGTGCCGTACTGCGTTCTGCTGGCGAGCCAGGGAATTGCATCGCCAAGAATGCCCACGGTGAAGGGAGTTTCAGAACCCATCCACCAACCCTCGCTGTTGCCACCGCAGTGCTAGATTACAGGCGGCCACGTGCACAGCCGCCACCAAGCAACCAACTAGCACGGCGTATAACGTCGGGCGAACCCCGGTGATGGACAACGTTGGTCTCGGAAGCCAATCGACTGATGGACTCCGTGGGACGGTTGCTAGTTTACGTTGTGCGATTCTAATCCAAATGTTGGCAATTTCACATTACCATGGTGGAAGGAGGCTGCTCCCTCCCCTCCTACTCACCCCCCCGCTCTCCCCCCCCCCCCTTGCTCGCCTCCCCCCGCGCCAGTGTGAACGATGTTCACGACCAGGGAATCGATCCACGACCCCTGGAATTCCAGACGGCATTAGCCTCACTCGAGACACGCAATTCCCCGTACTAAATATGCGCACGCACGCATACAAAGACAAATATCCCCCCCCCCCACCACCCCCGTATAGTCTTTAACACTGTTCGGGCAAGTGCTATTAGCAAACCTGTCGACCCCTTATCAGTGCCCTACCTTGTTACAGACCAATTCAGACCGTATTGGTTACTCTTATAAATGTCAACGTTCATCATACAAAGTCCCATCACACGGGAGAAACACAAACAAATAGACACCTTTTTGGTCTGCGCGTAATTGAAACGGCTCTACGCCGAATGGACCTGGAGACTCAATTTTCCTTGTAAACCCGTATGTGTTGACAGCTGTGCAACAGCACGCCCGGCCGCCTTTGTCTCCCCAGTTGCCGACGCATCAAACGCCAGGCGCCAGGTGATAATTTAAGGCTGAGTCGACCTCGGAGGGGGCCTAGAACGAGCTCAATGATTCCGCGCTGTTAAGGGGCCGTGAGCGGATGTCGGATGATCGGTCGCCGGTGTTCAGAGCGCAGTGCGCTAACCACTGCGCCACCGCTCGCCCGAGTCGACACACACACGGACCAACTCGCGTGCGTTCGTGTGGCTAAGCCACTGGGGGGACCCATTAAAAATGCAGGCCGCGGAAAAGTAAAATAAATAAGTGAGGGTACAAATTAATAAGCAATAATTCCGTAAATTGTTCATCTTTTGGCGAGTGACAAAATGCGCGCGCGCATGCAAGGAAGCAACCCGGGAGAGGACTGGGACCCAGTCCCATAGCGCTCTGTGTGTGTGTGTCGGTGAACGGCGCTCTGTGTGTGTGTGTCGGTGAACGGTGGTCTGTGTGTGTGTGTCGGTGAACGGCGCTCTGTGTGCGTGTCAGTGAACGGTGGTCTGTGTGTGTGTCGGTGAACGGTGGTCTGTGTGTGTGTCGGTGAACGGCGCTCTGTGTGCGTGTCAGTGAACGGTGGTCTGTGTGTGTGTCGGTGAACGGTGGTCTGTGTGTGTCGGTGAACGGTGGTCTGTGTGTGTGTCGGTGAACGGTGGTCTGTGTGTGTCGGTGAACGGTGGTCTGTGTGTGTGTCGGTGAACGGTGGTCTGTGTGTGTGTGTCGGTGAACGGCGCTCTGTGTGTGTGTGTCGGTGAACGGTGGTCTGTGTGTGTCGGTGAACGGTGGTCTGTGTGTGTGTCGGTGAACGGTGGTCTCTGTGTGTGTGTCGGTGAACGGCGCTCTGTGTGCGTGTCAGTGAACGGTGGTCTGTGTGTGTGTCAGTGAACGGCGCTCTGTGTGTGTGTGTCGGTGAACGGTGGTCTGTGTGTGTGTCGGTGAACGGTGATCTGTGTGTGTGTCAGTGCACGGCGCTCTGTGTGTGTGTCGGTGAAAGGCGGTCTGTGTGTGTGTGAGTGGTGCTCTGTGTGTGTGTGATGCTCTGTGTGTGATGCTCTGTGTGTGTGTGATGCTCTGTGTGTGTGATGCTCTGTGTGTGTGAGTGGTGTTCTGTGTGTGATGCTCTGTGTGTGATGCTCTGTGTGTGTGATGCTCTCTGTGTGTGTGATTCTCTGTGTGTGTGTGAGCGGTGCTCTGTGTGTGTGTGAGTGGTGCTCTGTGTGTGTGTGATGCTCTGTGTGTGATGCTCTGTGTGTGTGTGATGCTCTGTGTGTGTGATGCTCTGTGTGTGTGAGTGGTGCTCTGTGTGTGATGCTCTGTGTGTGATGCTCTGTGTGTGTGATGCTCTCTGTGTGTGTGATTCTCTGTGTGTGTGTGAGCGGTGCTCTGTGTGTGTGTGAGCGGTGCTCTGTGTGTGTGTGATGCTCTGTGTGTGATGCTCTGCGTGTGTGTGTGATGCTCTGTGTGTGTGTGATGCTCTGTGTGATGCTCTGTGTGTGTGTGTGTGATGCTCTGTGTGTGTGTGTGAGCGATGCTCTTTGTGTGTGATGCTCTGTATGTGATGCTCTGTGTGTATGTGTGATGCTTTGTGTGTGTGAGCGGTGCTCTGTGTGTGATGCTCTGTGTGTGATGCTCTGTGTGTTTGTGATGCTCTGTGTGTGATGCTCTGTGTGTGTGTGATGCTCTGTGTGTGATGCTCTGTGTGTGTGTGATGCTCTGTGTGTGTGTGATGCTCTGTGTGTGTGTGTGATGCTCTGTGTGTGATGCTCTGTGTGTATGTGATGTTCTGTGTGTGTGAGCGGTGCTCTGTGTGTGTGATGCTCTGTGTGTGATGCTCTGTGTGTGTGATGCTCTGTGTGTGTGAGTGGTGCTCTGTGTGTGTGTGTTATGCTCTGTGTGTGTGATGCTCTGTGTGTGTGTGATGCTCTGTGTGTGTGATGCTCTGTGTGTGTGTGATGCTCTGTGTGTGTGATGCTCTGTGTGTGCGTGAGTGATGCTCTGTGTGTGTGAGTGGTGCTCTGTGTGTGTATGATGCTCTGTGTGTGTGATGCTCTGTTTGTGTGTGATGCTCTGTGCGTGATGCTCTGTGTGTGTGTGATGCTCTGTGTGTGTGAGTGATGCTCTGTGTGTGTGTGATGCTCTGTGTGTGATGCTCTGTGTGTGATGCTCTGTGTGTGTGTGATGCTCTGTGTGTGTGTGATGCTCTGTGTGTGATGCTCTGTGTGTGTGTCTGATGCTCTGTGTGTGTGATGCTCTGTGTGTGTGTGATGCTCTGTGTGTGATGCTCTGTGTGTGTGTGTGATGCTCTGTGTGTGTGATGCTCTGTATGTGTGAGTGATCCTCTGTGTGTGTGATGCTCTGTGTGTGTGATGCTCTGTGTGTGTGTGATGCTCTGTGTGTGTGTGATGCTCTGTGTGTGATGCTCTGTGTGTGCGTGAGTGATGCT